GCAACACACAACTGGCAAAGGACATGTATTTGTAATTTATAAAAGCATTCTCAAAACTCTGCAATAATCAAGCCAATTAGAAAATAACAAATTATAGAAACAGACATTTTAGTAGAGAAATTATACAAGTGGCAACAAAACATACATGAAAAGATATCTAAAAGCATTAACCAGCAGGGTGAAATGTAAACCACAATGGAATGCCACTGCATGCCTATCAGAATGGCAAAAGTAGAAAACAGGGATAGCATCAAATGTTGACGAGGATGCAGAGAAACAGTATCGCTCATACACTAATGGAGGAAACAGAGTGGTACTCTTTAAAGTACCCCTCTTGAAAATAGTTTGGTGGTTTCTTATTTTATAGGTTTTAAACAACATGAGATATTATTATCCTTTAGTGCTTAATATTCAGTTGACATCAATTTGTATTTACTCTTCTATTTACGTTTTCAGTTGCTTTTCATTTGTTTCTACAAATTTTGGTTTTTGTATGGAATAGTTTTCCTTCTTCCTAGAGACTTCATTTAGTCTTCCTTAGTGCCTATCAGCTGGTGAAAAATTCTCTTATATTTGGAATTTATTTTCTTAAAATATATTTACTATCTTAACTTTTGAAAGCGATTTTAGGCCGGGTGCAGTGGCTCACACCTAGCACTTTAGGAGGCTGAGGTGGGTGGATCATGAGGTCAGGAGTTCAAGACCAGTCTGGCCAAGATGGTGAAAACTCATCTCTACTAAAAATTAGCTGGGCACAGTGGCAGGTGCCTGTAATCCCAGCTACTCAGGAGGCTGAGGCAGGAGAATCACTTAAAGCCAGTTGCAGAGGTTGCAGTGACCCAAGATCATGCCGTTGCACTCCAGCCTGGATGACAAAGTGAGACTCTGAAAAAGAAAAAAAAAGAAAAAAGTAAGAAGAAAAAAGAAAGAAAGCTATTTTAAAGGATGTAGAATCCTGTATTGGTAGTTGATTTCTTTTATAGTACTGTATATATCAAACCAGCATTTAAAAACTATTTAGTAGACAATTTCAGAAAATTCTCAGTCTCTCTAGTTCCCTGATAACATTTCTAGACACACTGTGGGTCAAAAGGAAACCCATTATCTTGAAGGAATGGACCCAGTCCCGCCAGCATTTATCACCTGCTAACCTGAATAGCCCTTGGGCCCTGAGTAACCATGAGCCATACCCAGGTACTACACTAAAAACTTTAGTGAGCTTCTGAGACTTTCTGGCTTCAGATAAGACTCAGAACATTACCACCTGTGGTGGCTATGGGGCAAAACTCCTTCTGCTTCAGACAAGCAAAGTAAAAGGGACTTTGTGTTGCACTTTGGGTACCAACACTACCACAGGAGGGTACAGTTCCAAGAAGGATATTGGGGTTCTCAATTTCAAGACTTGAGTCTTGGATGGCATTTCTAAAGTTGCTGTGAGACAGAGGGAAGCTCATTACCTTGAAGGGTGAGTCCCGGGTCAGGCAACATTCACTACAAGCCGACATAAGAGAGGCCTTGGGCCTTAAGGGAAAGTGGATGTAGTCTGGCAGTACTCCTCATGGCCAGGGGTGGCAATGGATGTGGAGTAAGGCTCCTTTGTCTTTGGATAGGGGAGAGAAGAGTAGGAAGAACTGCATCTTCTGGTTTGAGTGTCAGCTCGGCCACAATGGAATAGAACACCAGGTAGGCTTCTAAGGTTTTTGACTGCAGTCTCTGACGCCTGAAGAACACTTCTGGACCAACCTGGGGCCTGAGGGACCTCGCTGCCTTGAAGGGAAGAACATGTACCTGGTTGGCTTTGCCACCTGGGGCTGACTGTAGAGCCCCAGGGCCTTGAGCAAACACAGAGAGTAGCCAGGGAGTAGTTACAGCAGGCCTTGGGTGAGACTCAAGGCTGTGCTGGCTTCAGATCTGACCCAGTGCAGTAATAGTGGTGGTGATCACAGGGGTTCTTGTGTCACTCCATCCCCAGCTTTAGGTATCTTAGAACAGGGACAAGACTGTATGTTAGGGAATAAGTAAGGGAAGTGAACGAGCGTCTCTGCCTGGTAATCCAGAGAATTCTCCTGGGTCTTGTCTATGACCATCAAGGAGGTGCCTTTGTTAGCCTGCCAGAACCACAGCATTACTGGGCAGAAATAGCTTAGATCACAGCACCCAAGTAGCTTCGAATATCTGGAAAGCCTTTAAAAGAAGGATGCATACAAATAAGGCCAGACAGAAGGCTACAATACACACCTAACTCTTCAATGTCCAGGCACTGAAGAACATGTAGTAACATCAACACCATTGATGAAAAAATAACCTCAAAAAATGAACTAAATAAGACACCAGGGACAAATCTGGAGAAACAAAGATATGTTACCGTTTTGGCAAATAATTTAAAATAGCTGTGTTGAGGAAAACACAATGAAGAAATTCAAAATTCTATCAGATAAATTTAACAAAAAGATGGAAATTTTTTTTTAAAAAAGCAGAAATTCTGGAGCTGAAAATTCAGTTGGCATACTGAAGAATGCATCAGAGTCCTTTAATTGCAGAATGGATCAAGCAAAAGAAAGAATTAGTGAGCCTGAAGACAAGCTATTTGAAAATGCACAGTCAGAGGAGACAAAAGAAAAATAATAAAAAGCAATTAACTATGACTACAGGATTTTAAAAATAGCTTTAAATGGGCAAATCTAAGTGTTTTTTGGCTTAAAGATTAGGTGAAGAAAGAGAAAGAGGTGGAAAGTTTATTCAAACAGATAAAAAAGAACTTCCCAAACCTAGAGAAGGATATCAATATCTAAGTACAAGGTTATAGAACACCAAGCAGATTTAACCCAAAGACTGCCTCAAAGCATTTAATATTCAAACTCCCAGAGATCAAGGATAAAGAAATTACCCTAAAAGCAGCAAGAGGAAAGAAACAAATAACATATAATAGAGCTACAATATGTCTGGCAGCAGACTTTTCAGTGGAAACCTTGCAGGCCAGGAGAGAGTGGCATGACACAGTTAAAGTGCTGAAGGAAATAAACTTTTTCTCCAGAACAGTATATCCAGTGAAAATATCCTTCAAACATGAAGGAAAAATAAAGACTTTCCTAGACAAACAAAAGCTGAGGTATTTCATCAATACCAGACCAGTCCTATAAGAAATACTAAAGGGAGTACTTCTATCAGAAAGAAAAAGAAGGAAGAGAATACCACAAAACAACCAGAAAACAAGTTAAAAAGTGGCAGGAGTAAGTTCTTTCATTGATCAATAACAACTTTGATTGTAAGTGTAATAGAGTCTCCAACCAAAAGACATAGACTGGCTGAATGGATAAAATGACCAAGACTCATTGATCTGTTGCCCACAAGAAATACACTTAGCCCATAAAGACACATATAGTCTGAAAACAAAGGGACGGAAAAAGATATTCCATGCCAATAAAAACCAAAAAAAAAAAAAAAGCAGGAGTCAGTATACTGAGACAAAATAGAGCACAAGACAAAAACAATAAGAAGAGACAAAGAAGGTTATTATATACTGGCAAAGGATCTATTCATTAAAAAGATACAACAATTTTAAATATATATGCACCCAAGACAGGAGCACTCAGATATATAAAGGAAATATTATTAGACCTAAAGAGAGAAATAAGCCCCAATACAATAATAGCTGGAGACATTAACACCCCACTTTCACCATTGGACAGATATTCCAGAAAGAAAATCAACAAAGAAATATTGGACTTATCTACAGTATAGACCAAACAGATCTAATAAATATTTACAGAACATTTCATCCAGGAGCCACAGGATATACATTATTTTTCTCAATATGTGGATCATTCTCAAGGAGAGACCATATGTTAGGTCACAAAATAAGTCTTAAGACATTAAAAAAAAAAAAAAAAAGAAATAATATCAAGCATTTTCTCTAACCACAATGGAACAAATCTAGAAATCATTAAAAAGAGAAATTTAGGACAATATACAAATACATGAAAATTAAACAATATGCTGCTGAATGTCCAGTGGGTAAATGAAAAAATTAAGAATTGAATTGAAAAGTTCTTAAAACAAATAATAATGGAAATATAACATACCAAAATGTATGGGATACAGCAAAAGCAGTAATAAGAGGAAAATTTATACATATGAGCACTTACCTCAAAATGAGGAAAAATTTCAAACAAAAAATGTAATGATGCATCTAAAAATTACAGAAAAGCAATAACAAACTAAGCACAAAATTAGCAGAAGAAATAACAAAGTTCAGAGGTGAAAGAAATAAAATTGAAATGAAAAGAGAATACAAAAGATTAATGAGCCCGGCGCGGTGGCTCACGCCTGTAATCCCAGCACTTTGGGAGACCAAGGCGGGTGGATCACGAGGTCAAGAGATCGAGACCATCCTGGTCAACATGGTGAAACCCCGTCTTTACTAAAAACTACAAAAAATTAGCTGGGCATGGTGGCGCGTGCCTGTAATCCCAGCTACTCAGGAGGCTGAGGCAGGAGAATTGCCTGAACCCAGGAGGCGGAGGTTGCGGTGAGCCGAGGTCGCGCCATTGCACTCCAGCCTGGGTAACAAGAGCGAAACTCCGTCTAAAAAAAAAAAAAAAAAAAAAGATTAATGAAACATAAAGTTGGTTTTTGAAAAGTTAAACAAATGTGACAACCTTTAGCCAGACTAAGAAAAAAGTGAGAAGATTCAAATAAAATCAGATATGAAAAAGGAGACATTACCACTGCTACTGAAGAAACTCAAGGATCATTAGGAGCTACTGTGAGCAACTATACACCACGAAATTGGAAAATCTAGAAAAAATGGACAAATTCCTAGATATATACAACCTACCAAGATTGAATCAGAAAAAAAAAAAAAAAAACCAAACCTGAACAGACCAGTAAAAAGTAATGTGACCAAAGCCATGATAAAAAGCTTTCCAGTAAAGAAAAGCCAAAACCTAAAATGCAATAAAATAAACAAATGAAAAAAAAAAAGAAAAGCCCAGGCAGACCTGATGGCTTTAGTGTTAAATTCTACCAAACACTTAAAAAAGATTTAATACTAACACAATTCAAACTATTCCAAAAAATAGAGGAGGAGGGAATAGTTCCAAACTCATCCTATGGGGCCAGTATTACCCTGATACTAAAACCAGACAAACCCTCATGAATAAAAGAAATCTACAAGAAAATAACATTGATGAATATTGATGCAGAAATCCTCCACAAAGTGCTAGCAAACAAAATTAAACAATATATTAGAAATATCATCCATCATGAACAAGTGGGATATATCCCTGGGATGCAAGGATGATTAAACATGCACAAATCAATCAACATGATACATACCAACAGAATGAAGGATAAAAACCATATGCTGTATCTAAAATACCAAGAAAAGCAAGAACAAAGCTGAAAATCAACTATATACCGTGTCAACAGAACAAAAGATATAAACCATATAATCATTCCAATTGATGGTGAAAAAGCATTTGATAAGACTCAACATAACTTTATGAAAAAAGCCTCAAGAAATGGGGATAGAAGGAACACTCCTCAACATAATGAAAGCCATATGTGACAGACCCACAAGGAGTATTATACTGAATGGGGAAAAACTGAAAGCCTTTTCTCAATGATCTGGAACATGACAAGGATATCCACTGCCATCAATGTTTCTCAACATAGTACTGGAAGTTGTAGCTAGGACAATCACAGACAAGGGCATGAAATAAAGGGCATCCAAATTGGAAAGAAAATAGTTCAGATTATCCTTGCTTGCAAATGATATGATCTTATATTTAGAAAAACCTAAGGACTCCACAAGAAAAACTATGAGAATTGATAAACAAATTCAGTAAAGTTTATGGGTGCAAAATCAACAAACAAAAATCAGTACCATTTCTGTATGTTAACAATAAACAATGTGAAAAAGAAATAAGAATGTAACCCCATTTACAATAGCCATGGAAAACTAAATAGCTAGGAATTTACCAAAAAAGTGAAAAATCTCTATAACAAAGAGTATAAAACACTAAAAAGGGAAATTGAAGAGGAAACCAAAGACGGAAAAGCATATATACATACATATAAATAAATATATATGTATATATTTTATTTATTTATTTATTTATTTATTGAGACAAAGTCTTGCTCTGTCACCCAGGCTGGAGTGCGTGGCTGATCTCGGTTTACTGCAACGTCTGCCTCCCGGGTTCAAATGATTCTCCTGCCTCAGCCTCCAGAGTAGCTGGGACTACACATACATGCCATCACACTCAGCTAATTTTTTGTATTTTTAGTACAGAGAGGGTTTCACTCTGTTAGCCAGGATGGTCTCGATCTCCTGACCTCCTGATCTGCCCACCTCAGCCTCCCAAATTGCTGGGGTTACAGGTGTGAGCCACCACGCCAAGCCTGAAAAATATTTTATATTCATGTACTGCAAGAATTAACATTGTTAAAATGTTCATAATACTTTAAGCAGTCTTTAGGATTGGATGCAATGTCTATCAAAATATCATTGGCATTCTTCACAAAAATAGAAAAAAATAATCGTAAAATGTATAGGGAATGGCAAAAGACCCAGAATAGTCAAAGATACTGTAAGCAAAACAGAACAAAACTTGAAGAATCACATTCTAGAACAGAACAGAGAATCTAGAAACAAATCACACTTACGGTGAGTTCATTTTTGCCAAAGGTGCCAAAAACATAAACTGGAGAAAAGACAGGCTTTTCAATAAATGGTGCTGAAAAAGCTGATATGCATATGCAAAAGAATGATACTAGACCCCATTCTCTCACTATCTAAAAAAATCAAATCAAAATCAATTAAAAACTTAAATCTAAGACCTCAAACTATGAAGAAACCATACAAGAAAACATTGAAGAAACTCTCTAGCACATTGGCCTGGGCAAGGATTTCTTGAGCAATTCCCACAAGCACAGGCACCGAAGCGAGAATATGCAAATGAGATCACAACAAGTTAAACAGCAACTGTGTAGCAAAGGATACTATCAACAAAGTGAAGAAACAATGTATAGAATAGGAGAAAGTACTTGCAAACTATCCATCTGACAAGGGATTAATAACCAGAATATATGAACAACTATAGGAAAAAATCCAAGTATTCAATTAAAAAATGGGCAAAAGATTTGAATCGATGTGTCTCAAAATAAGACACACAAACACCAAATAGTCATATGAAAAGGTGCTCAACATCATTGATCATTTGAAAAATGCAAATCAAAATTAAAATGAGATATCACCTCGCCTGTCTTAAAATGGCTTATATTCAGACAGGCAATAACAAATACAGGCAAGGATATGGAGAAAAGGGAACCCTGATATGTTGCTGATGGAAATATAAATTAGTACAACCGTTATGGAGAACAGTTTAGAGGTTCCTCAGAAAACTAAAAATTAAGCTACCATATGATTCAGCAATCCCACTGCCAGGTATATACCGCAAAGAAAGGGAATTTAGATATCTGCACTGCTGCTTGCTGAAGCACTGTTTACGATAGCCAAAATTTGAAAGCACCTTACGTGTTCATAAACAGATGAATGAATCAAGAAAATGTAGTACATATACACACAATGGAGTACTATTCAGTTATGAAGAAGAATGAGATCCAGTCATTTGCAATAATAGGGATGGAACTGGAGATGTTAAGTGAAGTAAGCCAGGCACAGAAAGACAAATGCATGCTCTCACTTACTTGTGGGATATAAAAATAAAAACAATTGACTCATGTACATATTAATAGAGAGTAGAAGAATGGTTACCAGAGGCTGGGAAAAGTAGTAGGGGGTTGGAGGGGAAGTGGGAATGGTCAAAGGGTATAAAAAAATAAATTTGGAAAGAATGAGTAAGACATACTATTTGATAGCACAGTAGGCTGACTATAATAAATAATAGCTTAATTGTACATTCTAAAATCAGGAGTGTAACTGGATTGTTTGTAACTCAAAGGACAAAGGCTTGTGGGAGATAGATAGCCCATTATCCATATATGCTTATTTTACATTGCTTATGTGTATCAAAACATCTCATGTACACCATAAATATACGCACCTATTATGTACCCACATACATTTTTAAAAACAATTTAATTTAAAAAAAAAAGAAAAATAATTCTGTCTTCTCTTTAAATATGGCCTGCCTGCTTCTCTCCCAGTCCTCCCTTCTAGGACTCCATTTGCATATGCATTAAACATTTTCACCCATACGCTGCATATACTCTTTTATTTGCTTTATATTTATTTGTTTCATTGTGTTTGTGCTATTTCGTTTTTACGTATTTACAGTACATCTAATCTGCTATTGAAGCTATTTATCTTATTTTAAAATCAGCTATTGTATTTTTCATTTCTAGATTTTGTTTTGATATTTTTGGTGTTTCCACTTTTCCCCCTGTTCTCTATATTGCTATTTAATTATTTAAACATTTTATTTTAAATACTCTCTAGGAAACTTAAATAAATATCTAGCCCTACTCCTGGCTCTTTCCTATTATACATTTTTTTCTCTTAATTTTTATTCAAAGTTTATCTAGTTTTTAACTTACCTTTCTGCATACTTCAGGGAACAAAATATACTGTAGGTTGAAAGTTACAGAGGTAATTTAAGGCTCTGTAGAATTTCATCTTCTCTTTCTCTTAGAAAGATACCAAATTTTGATTTTCCTCTTTTCCTTTTCCCTTCCTTCCCTCCTCTCTCCCTCCCTCCTTTCTTTCTTTCTTTCTTTCTTTCTTTCTTTCTTTCTTTCTTTCTTCCTTTTCTTCCTTTCCTTCCTTTTCTCCTTTCCTCCTTCCTTCCTTCCTTCATTTCTTCCTTCCTTCCTTCCTTCTCTCTCTCTCTCTCTCTGTCTTTTTCTTCCTTTCTTTCTTGGGTCTCTGTCACCCATGCTGGAGTGCAGTGGTGCAATCTCAGCTCACTGCAACCTCCACCTCCCAGGTTCAAGTCCTTCTTCCATCTCAGCCTCCTGAGTAACTGTGATTACAGGTGCACACCACCATGCCCAGCTAACTTTTGTATTTTTTGTTAGAGACAGGGTTTCACCAAATTGGTCACGCTGGTGTCAAACACCTGGCCTCTGATCATCCACTCACCTTGGCCTCCAAAAGTGTTGGAATTACAGGCCTGAGCCATCCCACCTGTCTGATTTTTCTTTCTAAGTATGTCAAACTTTTGCTCAGGTTCTAGTAGTGTAAACTGACGTTCAAAAAGTAACTTTTGTTGAATCTTCTACCATATTTTCTAGTTGTTCTCAGTAGGAAGTTTGGTTCAAAATTATATACTTCACTATTGCTAGAAGAAGATACCAAGAACAGCATGTTCTGCGTATTCTTGCTATGTTTGATCAGTCACAACTTTTATAAATCTCATCTTACCTCCCCAGTCTATTTTACAAATAACCTATAAGCATGTGATGAAGACTTTGCCAGTCAGACTTGTCCACATGAGACCTTAATTTGGAAATCCACATTATGAAATAAAGCACTGTAATATACTCGTTGTGCTGGAGAAAGGCAACATAGGAAGCTGTTTTCTCCAGTGCTTACAGAGTAACACCAATAGTAATGGTTTCTTCACATACCATTTTTTTAGATATTACTCCTTGAAGCTTTGGCTTGAGTCTACCTCCAGGTTTCCAACTGATCCTGTGAGCTACAAAAGCCGTTTAATTAACTCTTTGCTAATTAATCAGAGATATTTTCTTTTCAATTTCCAATCAAAACCTATATTGATAGAACTGCAATTCTTCGTAGAGTTTTATTAAGCTTTTTCCTCTTGAAATGTCTGTTTTCTATCCTTGCTTCTCTAAACTGACCACTCCGCATCTTTCAGACCTCGGCCTGTGTGACACTCATTTAATGATCTACCAATCTATTGATTTATTGTCTCCAATATGTACCATGATCAGTTTTCTGGCAGTGAATAGTACTTTCATCAAGTCATTCCACCTCCCAAAAACTGTAGGTAGCTCCCTGGTAAAAACAATAATTATCATTTACTACTTATGAGATTAATTATTTTTCTCCCTAAAATTTTCATGATTTCAAGTACTTTAATGTTATTTGTTTGCCTTTTTTGTGTGTTTGTTTCTTTTCTCTCTATATATGCTTCTGGATTTAATAAAGTGCTTACTACACCTGTCTTCAGGCACGCTCTATTTTCTTCTCCCCGGGGTCTCATGTTTGTCCTGAATTCTATGAGCTCACTAATTTCCTCTCTTTTCTCTGTAAGCTCACAGATTTCTTTCCTTCTCTCCAGTCACTATGCAAATACATTCAACCTGAAAAAATTGGAACCTAATTATCAACGCATCTAAAATCTGTATTATTGTTTAATGTAGTCTAAGACAAGGAATGTTAAC